GCCACGTTACTTCACGGTCCCTTTCGTCCGGGGTCTGCACGAAACACGACCCAGCAGTTTTGCCATGCAAACATTCCACCCCCTGTGTCACTCTCTAGTAGTTCAGTTCATGCCAATTCACCCCCCCCCCACACACTTCCCTGGTTGTTGGATGCACACCCACCTGAAAGAAGCTTCAGCACCACGTGGGGGTAAAAACCCAAAAGGTCTCCTCTGGACAGAACCTCCCTCTCTATTGGAGCAGTTGACGGCAGTTTTTTTTCTCTCCTCAATTTATGTTGAATGCTTTTGTATTTTGAATTTGGTTTTAATTTCTTGGTGTATATTTTCAGTGATTGTTTCCTTATTTTAATTAACTGGTATATATAAGCTTTTAAGCCCCCCCCCCCTCCTCCCAGAAAAGCATCTTGCAGAAATGAGACCTAAATAGGCTTCTTCTGACTATTTGTAACAAATAGTGAGGCTTTTTTCCCTTGGGTGTAGAAGAGAGCGTATCGTGTACATTTTAAACCCCAGTCAGGATGCTTCAGTCTATCTGTATTTTTGGAGGCGAAATAAGGAATAAGACATTACATGCTCAAAACCTATATTTTATTGTTCAGAACAGACAAATGAAGCAAATATATATTTACCCAGCACTTGTCATTTTCTTTTATTGTAATAATGTACTATGTCTTCTCTTTCTGGTAGCTAATAGTGTGGTTTTTTGCCATGTTTATTTCATGCAAGTATTTCTGCAACTTTGTTTTTAGTATACCAATGCATTTGATCTTGTTTTAATCTCATCGTCGTCTTGGTACAGCACTTCGCTGCCAAGTGGTTGCATTTGAACTGTGTTTTAACATGTTTTTTTTTAAGAAAATAAAAGGCAGCATTGACTGATTCCGGATCTTTTGAAATGTGTTCGTTTATAACTGTATAATCTATACGTGAATAGATGCTCTGGTTATAATTTTGCCGGCAATGCCCCCTAGTGGTATGCGAAGGACACGCAGGATGCCTCCACTTTTGCTTTTCTAAAGACAGTCCAGGATTGCCATCGAAAACTGCACCACAGCGCCTGTATAAAGATATGGTTAAGTCCCTTCCGCATGGGCTGGTAAGTCAGCATTTTTGGGGTTGTCCTCTTGCATTTCCATTTTTTCCCAACGGCAGACTTATTACAATTAAGTGGAGAAACGTAGAAATCACTGTAAATAAGCACTTTAACTTTAAAACAAAATTATTTAATGCTTTTACACTGTGTTTACACAGGACTCTGTGTAGTTTAGCTTCTTTAAAAAAGGAAAACAACTGCTTATGTCGGAAATCATTCGTTGAAGCATTTCTCTGACATATACGCGTGCTGTAGTAGCTATTTTATATTCCTAGGTGTGCGATGAAAAGGCGTTTTAGAGAACGTTGTATAAAGGCAGGGGGATTCCCATTACGGCAATGCGATACCGGTGGGCTTCGCGGAGGTCAGCCCGGAGGCGGCGTCTCCCGTCTCCAGATCAAAGCGTCTTTCTGTATATATGTAAAAAAAAAAAAAATAAGCACGATAAGTTATTTAAATAATTTAGGGACACCGCTAATTACGGCGCCCGCAGCTACTTCTTACAAACCAGAACCTGGATCAATCCATTTTCAATGACAGAATAAATATTTGTGCGGTGCATAAATAGGTAAATGAAACGGAGAAAAACAGGCGGAAGAGTTCCATGTACTGGAAGCACCCTGCAGATTGTGGGTACTGATGTTGGAGGATTGCGGACTTGTTGGGTGGGTAGCCGTCGTACAGGGCAGCGCATCAAACGAAATGATCCGGTACATTACCCAAAAAAGGGGGCCTTTGAAACGCACACGGGTCTGCATCACCCATCCATTAGCGACACTGACGCGGCATCTCTTTGAAGCTCCTAAACGATAAAATGACTTTTTACGAAAGCAGTTTGTTCCTAATTGGCCAATATATTCATGTGTCTGCTGAAACGCACGTGCAAGACGAACATGGAGCCCAGCCACGTGGCCGTTTCTCCTCCGTATTTACGATGGGTGCTGCACTTCTGCACACCTTTAAAAACGATTTACCCCCTAATTAATTCCAGAGACGTGCTCATATCATATTCTCCAGATGTCTTAAATGTTGCTAAAAATAGCTTCAGAAACGGTACATCGGAACCAGTCCGCTGACGCTAAATTCACTTATACCTTTTCAAGTGCTATGATTAGCTTTTTAGATAAATTAGTTTAAGATAAACCTACAGATTTATGTAATTCTTGCCATAGCAAAAACAGATTTTAAATATCAATGAAGCACTGGCGCCCCCTTGTGCATACTATGCAATCTGCATTTCCCCCTTCTGTCTGACCGACTGTAAACATTTTGAAACTGTCAAGATACAAACGTGAAGACACAGAAGACATTTTAAGAATGCCCTTTATTGGATTATACAATCAGATTGTAAAAAAAGTTAAACTGAGGGGCACAGTGATGCCATGACAGTTTGTAGAGAACTTGAGATTAACTCAAGACCACACATAGTACCTGAATCCTTACAACCACACAGTCATCACACAGGCTATCCCCCCTGGTTACTTATGCTTGTAGAATCCTTCTCCGGTCTTCTTGCCGAGTTTTCCCTCCGCCACCAGCTTGTTCAGCATCGGGCTTGGAGCAAAAAGGGGATTTTCTGGTTCCATCGCATGCCAACCTAGAATTACACCATCGCATCATTTTTCTATGTCTATTTGAATTGACATTGTCAAAAATATTTACACTGATGCTAAAGCAAATCAGAGAAGGTAAATTTTAACCTAAGCCAGTAACCGGTTTACAGTGCACGCTATGATAACCCAAAACACATTACAGAACTGCAGATCAAAAGCTTTCCTGCAATTCAGACCTACAACCTTCTGTCCATTGGGCCACGTCCTTAACACTCACCGTCAATGATGAATTTTGAGGTGTCCAATCCCACGTAGTCAAGAAGCTCAAAGGGACCCATGGGATAGCCAGCGCCCAGTTTCATAGCCATGTCTATGTCTTCTTTTGACCCATGCCCTAGGGGAGTCAATTAGCCAGTTAGCTAGATAGCTAAGCTGAAATATGTAAAGCTATACTGCGATGCTATTCTGCTAATGTAAGCTGCAGGGCAGGATCGTACATATTGCTACCACAGCTAGCGTAGCGTAAATGCTAACTGCGAAAATTTTGAGCGAGCTCTCATAACACGTGATCACTGTAGCAGTGTCACACCTCTTTCGTGGAGTCGAATGGCCTCCATCATGTACGGAACAAGAAGTCGGTTCACGAGAAACCCCGGGGTATCCTGAACAAGGGGAACACGACTCAGTCCAATTCATATGCAACGGTTCTATTAGTATCTGCTGTTATTGGCGTGAAAACTCTTACCATGCAAGAAACGGGATGTTTCCCCAAAGCTTTGGTGAAGTCAGTCAGAGCATCAAATGCCATCTGACTAGTCTGTGATGTTCTAACCACCTACAAACATCATGTCAGAAGAGGAGAATTATCATCAGCAGTGTTTCCCCACTCGAAAACAAGCACGGAACACCAATCCTCTAGATGTTTTGCCGTTGAAAAGGAAAAAATACCTCTACAAGCTTCATCATGGGGACAGGATTGAAAAAATGGAGACCTCCAAATCGGTCCAGCCTCGTCGTGGCACTAGCGATGTCTGTGATGGGCAGCGATGATGTATTGCTTGCAAATATTGTGTGCCTGTCAATTGAAGGACATGAGAGGTTCTGGAACTTATCTGCATCCTGGGGACAATTTTTTGCATTATAAACACTAAACGCTCAAATATTTGTCTGTTGGAGAACTGAAGGATAAAATGCTTGGCCTTTCAAACGTCAAACAGAGAAGCTCTGAGTTACTCTGGGGCGGCTTTGTCAAGTGAACTGAAGAGGCTCTGCTTGACTTTAAGATTCTCCACGATGGCTTCCACCACCAGGTCCGTGCTCCGCACCGCCGAGGATGCGTCCGTGTTCGTGGAAATGTTCTTCAGTACCTTCTGAAGAAACTCCGCTGCCGCCTGGAACACGATATAAACACACTTGTCATACACATGACATCAAGCTGGAATGGCTACAGTGCAGTATTCAGAGACAGTAAGGTAGCAAAGGTGTAATGATTGTTGTCTCTCTATATGTATGCAGATATGATCATAAACTGATGGAAAACAGACCTCTGGCTTGTCTGCGAACTTCTTTTTGGCCACTCTCTTCAAGCTACCTTCGATTCCCTGGGTGGACTTCTTCAAGATATCTTCTGAGGTGTCCACCAACACTACAGTGTGTCCTGTAGTTGCAGCAACCTGTGAGAGAGAGCATTTAATATTCACATAACTGTATATAATGTATTTTTTTTTTCTTTTCATCCTTTACTTTATAGTACTTGCAGAGCACCTCCTGTCGTTTAGCATGACACAGCAATGTGGTCAGTAGCAGGCTCAGCTCCGTTGGTGGTACCTGACATAGTGGTGGTCAATACTGCAAAATTTGGTATCGATCTGATACTAAGTACATACTGGGCCAGTATTGCCAATACCAATACTTATTCCTTATAAGGGCAGCTTATATACTTTGATGTAGGGGGAGAGTGTTTCATTTTTGAGGTGAATGCATCATCAATATGCTAAATCTCAGTACATTTTCATGACCACTAAAGGATTTTGTAATTTTTGCTGTGGTTTACACACTACATGACTGATCAGCCGCAGGGGGTCACACACCACAAGATCTTTCACCAGGAGGAAGTGCTGACGGGTCCATCTGGTCTCCAAATTACGTTTTGTATACGAAAACACACTGATTTCCAGTAGTCATTCACACGGTCTAGTGTCAACGCGCTACACATTAGACAAAATGACGTTTACAAAAAAATCTAATCAAATAGGCTCCACAACAAAACAGAGGAGAGGAGGAGTAACAAAATGTGCATGCAATAAGTGAAAGGAGCAATGTTTGCACAGATATGTCTACTTTTTGATGAAACGGGAGTAATGGACTGAAGGTAAAGGAAAGAAACTGAAGCTAAAGTATAGATCCTATCACGAGAGTATCAATCTGAATCCGATACCACTACTAACGTGTGGTATGAAATGTACTACTGGGTGAACATGAAGTTGCAAACATTTTTGTGCTATTATTAAACATGCACGATTAATGATCAAAGCTCAAGCGTATCCAGTTACGTTACCTTTTTATAAAGTGCTTTCCACTTTATAAAGATACACGAAAAAGTTGACGTTTTATACATAATACACTTTAACCACACTAAGTTCATGCTAGTTACAGATTAACGACACTTGCCAGTTTGACTGCAATCTATGTGAAAGGTCGCAGCTAGCTTTAACTATCAACATGTTGACGGACACCGGGCAGCGCGCAAGGTTAACCTGAACTAGCAAGATCGCCGGCATCACGTGCCTAGTTAGCTGGTCGGCGCATGGTGCTGGGGGGAGCTGTGGCTAACTGCTACGCAAATAACTGGCAGGCGTTAAGCAGACTACTTGCCGCTAACCGGGTAAAGCGAAACGGGGCGGCCGGCTAATGCATGCATTTTTATTTCTCATTTATTTTCTGGTTTCTTGCTTTGGGTTTACCTGCGCTATACCCGCACCCATCAGGCCGCCTCCGATCACCGTGATGTGCTTGATAGCCGCATGCCGGGCGGCGCTGGAGGACAGGCATCGGACCAGGCAGTGAGTAGCGAAAGCCATGTCGAGTCTGCGGCGCCAGGGCCTCGGCGTCCTGTGCATAAATAGCTGCTCGGCGGCGCGCCTCCTCCGGGGGCGACGGGCACGGGTTCTCGCTCGCGTGGCCGCTCTTCTGGCGCGCCCCCGTGGCCTTTGACACACTTCTGCAGCCAGACGCACTTTACGCCCATCCGGCTGAGGGTGTCAGTCATTAAATGGCTGCATCATAACAATCACGAATGTGCACGGCGATGAGATCGTGTGATTGCTATTAAAATCACAATATTTTGTAAAAAGAATACATGTAAATGACAGTTTAAAATAAATCTAGAATTCGTTGAGTTTAGAGCAGTAAGAAAAAGACAGACGTATTTAGTAGACATTCATATTAATTTTAACAACTGAAATATAAATCATGCTTCATAACAATAGCAAAAACTTTATTTCAGTTTTTTCGATAAAACGAATACTTTTTTGACATGGTGCGTTTCCATTGTAGTATCACATTAAAGGTCATAAGAATTGGCTTCAAATGCTACAGTACCGTGTATAAATTTGCTAATTTCCTTTGCCAAGAAACATGAAAAACTCAGTTGAACTGAAAATCATTCTAATACATATTCTGTGTAAAAACTGGCTGTAAAAAAGGCACTTGAACTCACAGAAACTGAAGAAACTGCATATTAAAACAAACAAAAAAACAAACAAGCACCTTTGCTTCAGGGATTTTTCTGTGCAACAGCAGCAGCATTTTTTTGTTGGAACTGGCATCAAAATCCATTTTCAGGTTTCTAAACAAGGAGATACTAACCAATCGATCAGCGTCTCACAATCCGATCCTCAGAAACCCCCAGACAGTCCACATTTTTGCTCCCTCCAAGACAGCCCACATTTTCTCCCTCCCAGTTCCCGGACAGTCTAGGGGTCCATAAGGACTGGGATTGGGAGATGCTGCTATAGATTACGGACTTAAGACTTTTTAAAGGCAAAAAAAACATAACACTTCTGGTACAACCTGAAAGATTACAGTAACAGAACATATTATCCAGCTGCCCATGCCTTACCCCTCAACTTGCAGTATAAAAATCCCATATTAAACAAATCCTCTTTCCCTGACCTGTCCACACTGTCCCAAGCCAAGGGCAGCAGGTCCCCGTAAACAGCTTTAACAAGCATTGTAGCCATAGCAACGTTAAGGCCATGTGATCAAGACGAAACATACAATACATACATTAACATAATACTTATCAATACTTCTTATTTTGAATATAAATAGAACAGAGCTGGAATACTTTAATTTTGTGTGTTATACACAAGAGGCACTTCATCTCAGACTTTGGCATGACTGTATTTCCTGGTGGGACTTTCAGTGCAGCTGACCGCCAATCACGCAGTTCCCAAAGAGGTCTACTCCTCTCTCGTGCTCTGCACCTTGGAATACTTCTTGCAGGTGTTCTTGAAGCAGGCGGGGGGACAGCAGACGGGCCAGCAGAAGGTGCTCGGGACCTCGGTCTGCACGTTCCTCTCGAAGAAGTTGAAGATGGGGTTCCACCATGTGTGCGTGAGGTAGTTGTTGGGCGAGCATTTCAGTATCTGCGGAGGAGAAGGCGCAGGAAAAACAAACCGGTGAACGGAACCTGGAATTTTCCGAACGCTTGCTCACGCTGATGGCCTCTCTGGAGGCCCAGATCAGACATGCTGGTAAACAAGCCTCCATTTGGCTTCCAGACACAGAGTGGACATTCGAGTGGAAATAAAAACATAATCAAATTTCGTGCCGGTCTGATAAGTCAGGATATATTAAGGGCTGAAAAACACAAGATGGTGGGATTTATTTGACAGCGTGCCAAGGTGAGATGGGGCTTAACATGATCAGGAAACTTTCCTAGAGTGGGGGTGTCAAGCAGCATCACTATTGCCGTTTTTCTGAAGAAACTAGACGTAGTGTTTTCAGACCACCAGCAGAGGGCGACATGAGAAAGGGTACCAAACAAATAGGAAGGGACTCCTCTTTGACTGCAGAGTAGCAAAGTGACGTTTCAACTAAGTAATCAGTCACAAGGTACTCAACTTTTTTTTTTTTTTTTGCGTATTTTGTGAATAGCTTCTGCATATGTTACCAGAGAATAATCATAGGACGTCAATGCTTTATTTTAAACCACTCATAGCATTGTATTAATTTGTTTACAACATCAGTGCTTTAAAACAGATCCCCACAAGGTGGCGATATTGGGTGGAGTTGATGTCGTGTGGTAGCTAGCAGTGCTGGTGAACAGCCTGAATTGTCAAGTTGCCACGGATAAGGGTGAATAAATACACCAAAAAAAATAGACGAGCAGTCAGCTTTCTGTTTACATGCTGTGGCTGCTATGTTGAGTTTTCCCACACTGCCACCCAGCCACATGCACACCACAGCAGAGAGCGACTGGGAGCTGCACCAGACTTAGGGGCACTGGGGGATCGTCCCATTCCGAAACTCACCATGGGCAAAAATCCCTCAGACGTTTATCGATGGCATTTGTGAGAAGAGGATGCTTGTTTCGACTGGTCAAGGACTATGTAGTAAACTGGGCCACATCACTTTCCAGCAGATAAATGTGATACATTTATTTATAACCATATCACACAGGCTTCTGAAACTTAGAAAAAGGAAACATACTCTGAAATTGATCAAAATGGAGTTGCTGTGTTATTTAAAAGGGAACATGGAATGATTTCACTATAACAAATTATTTTGAAAGTTGATCGGCCGACATACGCTTCCCTAATGACTTCAATTTTCGATAAAAGCCAATGAAAAAGTCTACAATGCCTGTTGAATTTCAAGATCAAGTAATGATAATTGTAGAACTGCAGTGGTGGAGAAATCCCTCCCCCCTGAATTTTCCTTAAATCAAACTGTGTGGGTAATGGTTGCCTATGGAGACCACCGCAGTAAAGACCCGATGGGCGACGTCTAGGCACGGCTGACTCACCTGCAGATTGGCCATGGTGTGGTACCACCAGAAGAGGCGGGAAGTGATGAAGTAGGCCACAACCACATCCACACTGTAGTGCTCATGCGCTACCAAGATGCAGACCACGCCCACGGCACTCAGCAGCCAACACATCAGGTGGTACCACCAGAAGGAGCGCGGGGAATCTGGGTAGACGGTAAGAGCGGTGGCAGTTAGCGTCTTAGTCTTCAGGCTAGTGGATGGTAAGCGCTAACGGCTAACGAGCTGCACGGCCCCACTTACACTCCTTGATGAAGAGGTAGGTGAGCGTGAGCATGACTGTGTGGCCGCTGTACAAGAAGTCCCCGCACATGAGGTGCGAGCCCGTGATGGACAAGCCTCCTCCGGAGATGAGCTGCAGGACCCGATGTACCTTGGCTTTGGAGTCCCCATATAGCTGCAATACACCAGCCCAGAAGTCAGCGGGCCCTGCTCTGGCACCAATAACACTAATATCAGCGCATCACACAATACAGACTTGCACCGGCTCATCATTGCTGAGGCAATTAAGGTTACCGTTGGCTACGAAGTATTGGGCCAAACAAGCATAGAAGATCAACAACATGGTAGCTGATCACGTGATCACATTCACGACTGCGGAAGGACGTGATGAAAATGCAGTTGACAAAAAAAAACGAGTCATGGTACAGTAGAGCAGGGGTCTCCAACGCCGGTCCTGAGAGCTACTGTCCAGTAGGTTTTCTATCATACCTGGCTTCTGATGAGCCACACCTGTACTCAGGTAAACAACAGGTGTGGTTCATCAGAAGCCAAGTAGGATAGAAAACCTACTGGACAGTAGCTCTCCAGGACCGGGGTTGGAGATCCCCGTGGTAGAGTATGGCATCTCAGTCACAAGCGGCCTTTAAACAAAGCTATAGTGGCAGAAAAAATGGCTTCAAAAATTCTGTTCCCCAGCTGGAATAATTGCGGATAAGGAACATTCGCATCCTTGGGTTGACGGGGGCGGGGCATGTAGCCGAACAGGGCCTGGCTGGGCCTGGTTATCCGGCTTACCTTGGGTGCGCATGTCATGTGCATCCCGGGCACAGGCAGCGTAGTTATGTACATGGTGACACAGCGGTAGAGGTACAACGTTCCAATCAGGAAGAAGTATCTCCTCCCAGCAATGGACCTGCAATGTGGGTGGTGATGGACAATTAGGATATAGCCAGGGTCACAGGTCACAGAAGGCCCAATCAGGTTTCATTATTCTGCTTGTTGTCATGTGATTGGAAGGTGTTTCTGGCTTGTACGGTGCATGCAGAATCAACTTGGGGCGACTAAAGTGGGGCAAAAATGCAGAACATAGAATGTAACTGGACAAATGAGGGCGCTATTGAAGGTGTTACTTGCAAAAGGAGAACGGTGCTCACTTGTATTTGAGGAAGATCCACTGTATGCCCCAGATGCCCACGAGGATCATGCCATTGATCTCCGTCACGGAGAAGGCCCACTTGACACGGTCGATGTAGTCGAAGAACTTGTCAGGCAGTGGCGGGCTGTTCTCCTTAGCTGGGACACGCTCATGGACCACCGTGATCACAACCGTGGTCAAGATAAGGTTGAAAGCAGCGTAGATGAAAGCTATTGCCGTCTTCCACCACTCCATGGGAAGCGGATCGCGCCTTCCACCAGGGACGGAGATCTTGACATAGTCGCGGTGTTGGCTGATCCCCGAGCGAGAATTGAGGTCCCCGCTCGGCGGAGACAGGGTGAGGCCGGAAGAGTCATCAGCACCTTCATCCGGGTGGGCCATCACCCCTTCACCTTCCCCCTGGGGCTGTTGAGACAGCATGAGGCCTTCCAGCGCACCTATGGGATCTGGAAGAATCTGGAAGCCTGCAGAAAGCAGAGTGACAATGTGTTTTAGTGCCATAGTAGGAGATTTGGGACAAATTTGGACATCTACTTTGAAGGAGTGAAGCAAAATCCATCCATCCATTATATGATACCGCTCGTCCTATTCAGTGTTGCTGGGGGGTCCTGGAGACTATGGGCGCAAAGCATGAAACAGCGCAGGATGGGACGCCAACCCATTGCAGGAACACAATCACACTCATTCACTCACACATGCACCATTTGGGAACTCCAAATAGCTTCAGCATGTTTTTTGGACTGTGCAGGGAAAACTAAGTACCCGGAGGAAACCCCACAACAACACGGGGAGAACATGCAAACTCCACACGCATGGAATCCTGATGGAGACGCAAGCCCAGGTCCCAGAGGTGTGAGGCAACTGCACCACCGGGCCACCCTGGAAAATGTACAATATACAATAAATCCATCTAAAATGCCGACTATTTAGATTGACTTGCTCAACAAGTCCCTGGTAAAGAGGACGCTGGACATGGTATTTCAACCTGACCTTCGGATGTCAACATCTGTGGAGAAGACTAGGAAAGTAGATCCTAGTATGTCTGCTTGCTGAATAATGTCAGACGAGTCCCCATCCTGTTTAGTTCCACCGGGGAATAGATCTGGCCCATTTGAAGTTATGAGTCATCCACGTATCTTCCCATTCTTCCAGAAAGCCTTCCGCACACTAAACTAATAAGCACCTATTAAATTACCATAGGCCTGTAGAGCAAGCTCATTACCAGCCAGAGAAATGGCCGACCCCTCCTGCCTGAAATGCTGCGGCTCCTATTTGCGTCCTCTACGGCAGCTGATTGGACCACAACTCATTTTTAACGCTACCCTGAAGCTCAAAGTTACCTCTACGAAGTAGAACGGGGACGTAGACACAGGGTCAAGTGTGTGTTTGCCAGGAGGCAGAGAGACGCGCCGACCTGTTGTGGTTACCTGCCCCACATTCAGCCGTACGGTTTAGGGCACGCCTTCCTGCTGGGCATGTCTTTCACAGTAGCCTGGATTCACGCCCGGTACACTAGTGCACGGTGCCAATTGTGCTCTTCCCAACTTCATCTCATATTCATCAGTCCCACGTGGGGAGTGCAATACCTGATTTTTAACCCTTTCAAATCCCTTGTATAGAATTTGACAAAAACACAGGAAACAGGTCCTTTTTTTTTTTTTTTTTTTTTAAACTTGTGTGCTGGACTCACTAGATTTGACTCTGCTTAGTCCTTGAGATATTTTTACAACTAGATTAGGGGAATATACAGCTATTCTACTTACTGTAGAGTCACCATGTCCAATTTGACTATGAAATCACATGGTTTATTACCTGGAGTGAGAGACAGGTGATGGTGTATTTGGACAGAATCTTGGGTAGCAGTGAACCATGTGAACAGGCGTGTTCCTAAAGCACCGTGCATCTTGCCGTGCGGAAAAAAACTTGGTCAGCTTGGGCGTGGTTCACACATAGATCTGGCTAATCAGATGCAGATCAGAAACATAAAGAAAAAAAAAAAAGTTATTTCTTCCTAGAATTGATGTTGTCATCTGCTGATGACAATCAAAAGAAGGACGCGTACCTGTCTTTGCGTCTCCGTTTTAATTTTGGCCCCACCTACATGTATCCTACCTGTCGTCAGCGTTGACCACGATAACAACATTCAACATAAGTATGGGCCATAGCTAGTCTGACTACTGTTTAACATGACATTTCATTTCAGAAAACAAATCTGGATTTCAAACCCTGTCACTCTGAAGCTGCTGGAGAGGGGGCCTACTTGTATAACAGGGTGGGTGAGCAGAGTAAACATCCAAGCAGACGTTTGAGATCTAACAGAGACAACTAAGAAGAAAATGAGAGTCTACGATGGCCAAAGTTTATTGTTGTGTTAGGGGGAAAAAGGCCAGCTTTACATCCTGAACAATTAATAATCAGGCGTATGGTGGGTAACTTCACTGTTGTTATTCATCTTCCAAATCCATGAGGTAGTACTTGAAGTGGTTCTAGTTTTTCTGTCCCATATGGCAACAAATAAAGTAATGTACAAGTAATCCGGCTGCCTTGGAGCTAATCTTGTTATTACAAGTGCCACCACCCGTCTGGTCTGAACACAAGGCTATATTTTTCTGAAGGCGTGCAAGGGTGTAGACGTACCAATTCATACTTTAGCGTAATGACACGGTACCCCGCAGTCCGGCGATTTTCTGCATCCTGTGTTCAAATATGACTTCAAAGAAACAAGGTCAAAAAAATAGCTAGTCGGCAGCAGAAGCCAGCCAATCCATTAGGATCCCAGTGTTGGAGCCTGTTCTCTGTTTATGGGGTTTAAATAAAGTTTGAAGGGGTGATTCAAAATGGAAGCCAGCTGAATGTTCTCAGAAGGCTGCAAGGCCATCGGCACAGTCAGGGTGGTGTGGAGATTTTGGCTCATACAGGAGCCGTTTTACAAGAATAAGAAGGAAGGGCTGGTGCAGCTTGAGCTATTTTGAATGAAGTGGAACATGCATGCTCTTGACCAGGTTCATCTCTGTGCTATTCAAACTATATCTGATAACATCAGCTATACCACTGGGTTTGGTTGGGCCACGGTCTACTTGGAAGCCACCCACTGCAACTGGAAATAAGGTCTGCATCATGGGGTGAGAATGGCGGGCTCTGGACGCATCGCGGCGCATTAACATAGCATTTAATGCAGAGGTTGGTCTTAGGGGCCAGGAAAATGGACCATTATGGAAAAGCCCGATCGCCTTACCGCTGGATCCAGGCACTCAGCGGTGTAGAGTTTCTGGACCTTGACAAACCGCTTCCTTCATTACTTATCTGAATACATATTCCCCCATTCGAGGTCCCTGTTGGATGCTGGGATTCTCGCCTTCTGCGTGTAATGTTTGCCTCGCTGCTGCTCAGCTTCTGCTCTAGTTTAGATGATATCTTTGTGGTATGTGCTTCAGCCCACTGTGGTTTTTAAGAGATGGGATCTTTCCTGGTCATTTCCCCCCTGGGATTTAACAGTGCAATGGCTGTCTGCACCACCAACATCCCTACCAATAATGCATCAACAACTCAACCGTATGAGAGCCAGTGATCACTGAGGCCCTCTCTTGGCAAGTCATTGCTTGCTTGTATAGATATAGCAAGTGTGATTCAAAAGCATGATTTAAGCTCTGCAATGGGGGTGCTGTGCTAGAATGCTGAAATCAGAAGGTTGTTGGGTCAAATCCCAAGACTTCACCATTGCACTTATAATCAAGACCCTTAACCCCCAACTTCCCCAAGGACTGGCTAACCTGGCTTCATCCAAAAAAGCATCTGCTAATTAAATTAAACCAAGATTAAACAGAGGAAATGGATGTATGTGAATTATATTTTTATGGCTGATTGTATAATACTGCTCATTGCTCAGACATAAATCCTAAACCTGAACTTCAGAGTGAGTGTGGCAGGTTTTTATTTGAGTTGCCACACTTCTGGCGCAGGTTAATAAGTAACACAGAATGGAGCATTATATTCTACATAGCTTGATTCTCAGAATCTAGCAGGAAAAAATGGTAGCAAACGTTTCCTTTCACCAACGGAGACCCCAATTACGGGTTAGCAATTCGGGAAGGTGTGCCGCTATACAGCAAATACCTTCAGGGGCCATGCTCCTGGAGACTTATGGGATAGCTGGCGTCTCCCTGCCGTGACTGAAAAGGTATGTGTGAAGCTGTCTCTCTTTACCCCAGCGTCCCAGGGGCAGGACAGCAGCCTCTATGCTGTGGGAAGACCCACAGCTGGTATATTACAGGGCAGGGCGGGTGCGTCCCTGCCCAGAGCGTGGCTCTCCAGATTTACTTTTGAAGAACGTCCCAGAAACCCCACAGTTTTTCACCACAGTCTAAAAATAAAAGCGCGGTGATACAAAGCTTCCATCCCTAGCCTCATGACTTTCCTCTGGGAAAATAAAGTGATTTCTACATTTTCAGAATTTTTGATATTTCAGGAAATGTTTTCCCAAGCAGATCCAGTCACAGTGAAGATCCCAGCATTTTTAAATAGATATTTCTGAGAGAACAGAACCCTTTCACATTAAAGCGTGATAGTAATTAAGGATTTCAGGCAAGTGAACGTGGCTCTCTTGGTAGCTAACTGGGTCATTTTACATTTCCACAGTCATGGGTTTGAATCACACACAAACATGCTGCATGCTCATGTGACTTCACTGTTTAGTTTCCAAGACATGCTGACAGGCTCTAAAGTGCCACAGTGGCACCATCCAGGAGGTTTCTCTCTGGAATAGCAGTTCTTGAAAAGGATAGATACAAGTAAGAATTTAAATCATCAAGAGCACTTTAATTGGCACCTCATGCTTTCCAAGCAGCAGTTACTTATCTATCGACGCATCCAGCTGCCTAAAATTAATCTGTATACAATATTACAAAGCTCCTAGTCTATGTGGAGTTCATATGCTAACACGAGAAGACCTCTGTCATTCACATAAACCAAGAAATACTCGCCCAGTATTGTTAGTATTTTTAAAATTCTCTCTTTTTATAGTGCTCCAGCTTATGGGCTACACTGTACTCGTGGTTGGATGTAGATTAGTATACGAAGTAAAAACGTCGACCTGCGTAGCGCAATTTTCCAGTCAAAAAAAGCCGTCAAACTTACTGATGTTCAGTATATGCAGAAATGCAACAGAGTAACTGGTACGCAGTTTGCGCGTAATAACCAATGTAGGCGTCTCACTCAAGTCAAACTAAGACAAAACTGCAGGTAGCCCAAATATTTCAAACGAATGTGAAACCTTCACACTTATAGCAAAAAACAAAGAGAAGCGTAACTAAATACAGCTTCAGAACCCATATACTAGCAATCACACGAGAGGGACGCAAATCTCCCGGTCGATGTATGCATGATTTTTATAAAAAAAATAAAAATAAAACGTGGACAAGAAACGATCGTGTATTTTGAACTTAGATTATAGCTTTCCACTGTACACGTATGAAAAAACAGCTGCTGTAAACGAGCGCATCAAAGGCTGGATTCACACAAGTTCATGTAAAGTGTCAGCGTACCTGAGATCCCTGAGAAAGAAAGCGGTCAGATGCGGACACCTTCAGCGTTCAGGCTCGAAATGAAGCTCCCGGTGCTGCCATGAAGAAAAAGCGAAGCGGCGCTCCTCCCAGATGCTTGACATCAGCGCGTCTCCAAACGCGCAGACCTGCAGCGGATCGGCTGCCTGGAGGAAACGCGCAGCAAAAAGAACCTCGAGCGTACGGGGAACTTGAAGTTCACCATTCCTTGTTTGGTGACTTTTTGGACTTTGTCCGATTACTTTATGGATTCGTAAAAATAAACAAAATGCACAGTGGCTTCGGGCGTGTCTGTGATACAGCATTAATAAGATTTTTTGTAGGTACTTAAGATATAGATATTTAAAGTACGATTGGCGTCAGTGTTCAGACCTACCGCAATTTTGCTGAAGTGATTTGACGCGCAAGGTAAAATCGATCTAAAGATAATTTAAATGTTTTAAGCGTACATCTCAACATTATTTTATGTACTGTTTTAACAGCGTAGTCTGTACAGACCACAAGACATTACCGTGCTGATCGCTTAATAAAAACAGTCAATTAAGACAAAATAATACCCTAATGTCATATTATGGCCATATAGGCCTACGGCATGGTTACTTTTAAAAGTTCTCCTGGTATATAAAAGTCCTAGAAAAAGCTGTAATTTCACTTAGTGGTAAGGGCTTAAATTTAAAAATATCACCATGCGGCTTCTTTGATCCTAAATCTGTATACATCACAAACTTAACGTGAACTACACGAAGATTGTTCATATATAGGAATTAAATTCTGAGCGATGACCTTTTTAACTTTAACGTTTTCACCCGGAGCGATATGCAATTTAACGGTAATTTGAAATGTGATCATTTAATTAATTTAATGAACCAATATTGGAGTATATATACCCATGTCGGGGTGACTATAATTTTAACATCACAATGAAACACTAATGTTTTGATACTATCTGTGCGAATTCTGCCTATATACATTATGGCGTGAATCTTTGAACTTTAAATGGTATAATGCTGAAGTACTTCATAATATTAGCCTAATCGTAGGCCTATCTATAAAACAGTGAATGACTTTTTAGCTTGGTTATAACTAAAGGTTGCTGGAGTGCGCTCAAAATTACAATATTGCAGGATTGCTTGCAGGATTTAAACGAAGATTTAAAGACGTTACTTGCGCACAACACATATTTAATATAATGTTCTCTGCAATATTAATTCATTTGGACATAGTACTTCTGACTGTAATCTGATAAATTATTTTGGATAGACATTAGTAGATTGCTACTTATGTACTGTGTTGTGCTAGAAATATCAGCCCCAGTATAATGTACCATTAAACATTCTGACTGATGTATACCAGTTTATGTATGTATGAACTATGACATATAATGTAACACTGTATAATACTTAATGTAATGTATGCACAGAATATAATCCTTAGGACAATACTGCGAAGATGTAACCTGCAGAGGATAATGTAACCTTGTAACCTTTAGAGAATGGATGCCAATTTGGCTACGTGATCATATAAGTATGTGTTTGCACCATAACTAGTTCTAAGGCTTATCATACCCCAAATTTACTCTGTTGAATCTTGATTCACTATGTTGAAGGGTAAAAAAATATAACAGACTCTGTAGCTAAGTAGTGTGTAGCAAACATCAACTATCTAGGCGTATTACTGCAGGAACACCTGGATTCTGAGCTTATTGCTTACCACCATAGTGTCCTTGAATCTCATAGATTCTAGGCTTATTGCCACAGTTATATTTTCCAGAGTGACTAAGTAATTCAAGAAATGATTAGGGTGATCATCCAGGGGCGGGGAATACCAAAATCCCAAAAGAGAATAACATAATACTGGCGAACGGTCGAGGGAAAGATGATGCTTAGGACATCCCCTGTGACGAATAACTGTTAAGAAATAAGAATAGCGTATAAGAATCGATGTAAGGCTGTAAGCCAACAATGGACACGCTTCTGCAGAGTGTCCAACCTCGGTTGTAACTTTGCTGCTGCAATAAAGACTGAACCTGAAGATCTTCACGAGCGGCTCCTGGCTCCTGACTCCCGATTGACTGGAAAAAAACACAATAAACCTGGTGTGGTTACGACTGTTACAAATTCCTCATATGTTATTTGAAAAAAATAACGACCAACTTTTCCAAGTGCTACAAATGGTCTTAAAAGACCATTAGAAATGTACATGTCGTGTCACCTATATATTTAACGCATTTCCAACAATGGCAACACGAGCCGTATGGGCTCGTTTCTTTCACGACACGTCGTGGGTTGTCATGGAGACGCGCCACAAGGCGGCATGGCGTCATTTCCGGTGATGTGTCCGTAAACCCATACGTGTGGTGATTCCTGTCTGCGGCCCCGGAGGGTAAAACGTTGTGGGTAAAGCTGCTCACCTTTCTTTTAATGTTTCGCGTAAAAACGAGAAGTGGCCAGTACTGCTAACGTTTCTCTTTCGGACAGACATGGAGACGGCTGGGAACTCGCACAAAAAGCCGAAGCTAAGTAACGCCCCAGAAAACTGGGTGAGTTTATAATTACGGGGCTTCTTGTGTAGCTTAATCACACCCAGACATTACAGTAGCCGTTACTTCCTCCTAAATTTGTAGACGCGTTTTAGTCTGAGCACAAAGAAGTTTAAAGGTTCTCCATGCGAGCTCGCTGCTTTTAACTCGATTCTCCCTTAAGCAGCTTTTCTATTTTGACCCAGAAAGCAAATATCTGGCCATCATTACCGGCCGCTACAAGTTATGGTAAAATGCCATGTATTTAATGTTATGATGTTGTTGATAGGGAGTGTCAGAGCCCCGGATGGATTTTTGTACTTATTTTAAGATCGAATAATTTGCATCTCCCTTTAATGACTCTGCCTCAATGTCTTTAATTAACCTCAATGTTGATGCTTAGAAACTATTTTAAAAAGTAGCTGAATTATTTAGGTTTTACGGTACGTGATGGATCGTGATTTTGGTTAACTGATGGTTGTTTGGTTTCAATTGTGTCTGTCAATGAAGGGGATGCAGCGAGCGACAAACGTAACGTACCAGGCTCACCACGTAAGCAGGAACAAGCGTGGGCAGGTGGTGGGAACCCGGGGCGGCTTCCGCGGATGCACTGTGTGGTTGACGGGTGGGTTATGTCATCTCCTTATCACATTCACCATCTAGGAACATTGGGAAAAAAAAAAAAGAGTAACATTGAAACATTGTTTCTGGCTCTGTTTGGTAACTGCAGTCAATACGCTGGACACTTAATTGGTACCATGAGCTGCTTGCGAAGTCGCTCGTGTCACGTGGTGTTTTTATAGGTGTAATAAAGATGCTGGTGTTGCCCATCGCTGGCCTTTGCAGGGTTGTCTGGGGCTGGGAAGACCACCATGAGCATGGCTATGGAGGAGTATCTCGTGTGCCATGGAATTCCCTGCTACACTCTGGACGGTGACAACATCCGGCAGGGCCTGAACAAGAACCTGGGCTTCAGCCCAGAGGACCGCGAGGAGAACATCCGGCGCATCGCTGAAGTGGCGCGGCTGTTCGCCGATGCTGGGCTAATCTGTATCGCCAGCTTCATCTCCCCTTACAGCCGGGTGAGCCCTTCTGCCAAGGCCGATGGAGCTCTGAACCTCTCCTGAGTTATTGTAGAGGGAGCGGCGTCGTTCTGAAGTCAGACCCTTGTTCTGCCCTCACAGGACCGCGCCAACGCCAGGAAGATTCACGAGGCCACCGGCCTGCCCTTCTTCGAGGTTTTTGTGGACGCGCCTCTGGACGTGTGCGAACAGCGGGATGTGAAGGGGCTGTACAAAAGAGCCCGAGCGGGGGAAATCAGGGGTGAATCGACCGGCGCACCTAGATCTCCTACATCAGGGCTTGTCAAACTCCGGTCCTGGGGGGCGGGAGCCCTGTGTAGCTTAGTTCTTTCCCTGTTCCACCGCAAATGATTCAGCTCAAGAGCTGTGTGGTAATTAGCACAAGGAGTTGCAAAGAGTTGAATCAGGTGTGTTAAATGAGAGGAAACCGTAAATGTTCAGGGCTCTGGCCCTCCATGACTGGAGTTTGACACCCCTATACTACATCATAATGCTGCTGTATCTCAAAAAGTAGAGCATTTCGCTAACATTGCAAAGGTTGTGGGTTCAAATCCCTGGGATCCCACATGAATTGTAACCCCTCTACTGTAAGTTGTTTACAGTACCTGTATTTTAATATAAACAAATAGGTGCTCAAGTCTATGGCCAGTTGATTAATCTTTTACATCCTTGCTAAACTTGAAGTGCATTTCTTGCATAATTACTTTGTGCTTCGAGTTAAAATATGTGTACGTTAGCCTTCCGGACCCTGTTATCACGAGCAGCTGTGGCACATCAAACACTCGCAATGGGCTGCCTGAGCTCATCAGTCAGTCACGTACTCGCAGTTCTGGCAGTCAGATAAAGCGCAGGCCCCAGGGCGATGCCCGGTGAGCGCCCCCTGGTGACTGTCCCCGTCTCCTGCAGGCTTCACCGGGATAGACTCCGAGTATGAGAAGCCGGAGGCGCCGGAGCTGGTGCTGAAGACGGACTCCTGTAGCGTGAACGAGTGCATACAGCAGGTCATTGACCTCCTGCAGGAAAGGGTAAGGAGTGTTGAGTGATGATGCGGCGTCCTGTCGTGGTGCCTGACCAAAATGTTGACGGCGGCCTGAGATGGCTTAGCTTATAGCTTATAATGGTCACCCGATGGGCCCATTGGTAGTCTTAGCATTTAGCATTTTTATGTTTATTTTTTTAAATAGTTTTTTCTGTTTGTTTTCAGTTTCTTTGCAGTACAAATATGTATGTAAAAAAAAAAAAACAAAAAAAAAAAACAGCAAAACACTTCTGTTTCCATGATAATAATCTCTCACCCCTAATCCTGCGTAGGACATTGTGCCAGTGGATGCGTCCTATGAGGTGAAGGAGCTGTACGTGCCTGAGAACAAGTTGGACTTGGCCAAGGCGGATGCGGAGACACTACCGGCTGTGGAGATCAACAAGGTATGTCCTAGTTACCGCCTGGGACCACCTGTATCTCTGAATCTGCTGTAAAGTCATGTTAATTTATAAAGCACGTTTTGAAACCACACTTGTTAACCAAAGTGCTGTACTGGGTCACCAAAAGGAAAGAAATGCTTTAAAGGACTAGGCAAGAGCATAAAAACACAGGTGATGAAGAAACATAAGGTGTTAGGAATATTGACAGAAGGGAACGTCAAACTATTGACTTGCAGCAGGGGTGGAGAACATGAGCCATGGAGAGCCAGTGTGGTCCGGGTTTTTGGGATGACCTCTCAATCAGCCAATAATATATCAGCGCCTCTTAACTCCAGTCCTCGGCACCCGCTGTTATTGGCTGATTGAGAGGTCATCCCAAAAACCTGCACCGGCCCTCCTTGGAACAGGATCGCCACCCCTGGGCTAAAGGCGGGATTTAAAACCATGAGCATAGGGAGTCTTGCAGGATGCCTTGTGCTCCGGCCCTGAATGTTGCCCCATGCCGCAGGTCGACATGCAGTGGGTGCAGGTCCTGGCCGAGGGCTGGGCGACCCCCCTGAACGGCTTCATGCGGGAGCGGGAGTACCTGCAGTGCCTCCATTTTGATTGCCTTCTGGACGGTAAGAATCCTCCCTGTCTCCTGAAGGTGGCGCTCTGTGCCTTTTAGTGCAGTCAGATGGGCTGCAGTCACTGAAATAGTTGCTGAGCTATTAAATACTCGGGCTGATTTTCCTTGAACTGATCGGCTGTTCTATAGCAGCTGGTTTTCATAAAGCACGTCACTGCTTTAATGTTCCAGTGCTCATGTTTGACCACTAGAGGGAGTCTTTGGGCCAGCTAATTCAAGATGAAATTAACCTCCGCTTGAAGTGGTACATTGTGACATGAAGTGTAGTCACAGGAAGTGTGGGAGATGCTTATCTATGCTTACATTAGACATCAAAGTAGCTTGTGGACTGTGTTTTAGAGGTTTTTTCTTCGTATTCTGTGTTTAAAGGTTCTTGTGACCTTTTATTTCCCCATTCTGTCTGCTTTTGAGGGCAGCATGGTGGCTGAGGGGCTTCACACTTCCAGCGCTGGGGGTTTCAGAGCTGCCTGCCTATGTGGAGCTGGCATGTTCTCTCCATGTCACCTGTAATCCCACTGCATGCTGTGTGCGTGTGTGCCCCCACCCTATAATGGACTGGCATCCCATCCAGGGCGTCCCCCTACCTCGTGCCCTGTGACGGACTGGCATCCCATCCAGGGTGTCCCCCTGCCTCGTACCCTGTGATGGACTGGCATCCCGTCCAGGGTGTCCCCCTGCCTCGTGCCCTGTGACGGACTGGCATCCCGTCCAGGGTGTCCCCCTGCCTCGT